TATAAAGTGTCTCCATCTGTCTCATGAGCTGAGGAAACAGGTTGTTTGCACCGGAGAAGACTCATGGGTCTGACTTCCAGTCGTCTTTGAATGTATACTTCTACCATCAGACCTTGTCTCACTTTGGGTTTGTGAACTAAAACACTCAGATTACTGTCATGCTTGAAACTCCAGCTTCCCTCAAGCTGTTTTCTGTGTTCAAATCACATGGGAGATTTACTACTGAGCGCTGAGTTTGGGGTTAGATATGACAACCAGAACTGTACATTTGCCTTATGGAAAACCAACCCTTCCTAAATCCTTGCCACAGCAGAGACTGCTCTCAAGTCTGACAGAGCTCTGCCAAAAAACCTGTTTGCTAAGAACAAGCTTTGATCTATGGTTAGTGCCAGAGGAAGGGCGGTGCCACCTTTGGTTTTCCTTGGAGAACCGATATTCAACCTCTCTGCTTAGCTTATGAGATTGGGTGGGAATTATAACACAAAGTGACTCTTGATCTACTCACAATTAAGAGACTTACTAAGAAAAGACTGAAATACATGCAAGTATTGAGAGAAGCTAAGGTAGAGAGTACATTAGGATTTACATCTGATGTTAAATTAATCTTCATAAGTAAGAGAACAAGTAACTGTTTACAGAGTTGGAAAGGGCTTAGAAGAGAGAATAATTTCAATGCAGAGCCAAGCATCAGTGTTTCAGGTTTCACATTTCACATACAGCATCAAAGCACTGGGCATGCTGCACAATTTTGCACAGCAACATGCTGATCAAGCTCACTGCTGCTTCAAAAGGGGTGGTGGGTCCCTAAGGCAGGACACAGTGCAGCCCTAGGAGGCACGGGAAGCAGCAACCCAAGAGGAGGATGTTTCCATACTTGTCCGGAACAGATAGCATCACAATCTACACCAGACAGCAACTCTTCTGCTACACACCCAAAACTTTTAATGTCCAATCAATACCCTTCTTTCCACTTTCTGCTTTCTAAGAGAAGTTCCACATTTCTGTTACAAACCATCTCCCCAAAGCTCTCTGATCTCTGAGTAAAACCTAAAGCAAAGCTAAAAGAAAGATTAACTTTCTCTTGGTTTAATTTTTCTTGCTAGTGCATAAGTTTAAATTCTATTAACCCTCCAGGTACCCCAGGTGTCTGCCTTGCTGCTCCTGGGAAAATCATAGAATTACCAGGTTGACAGGGACCTTGGTCCAACCTTTCTTGGCAGATCATGACCCAGAGTAGATGTCCCAACACCCTGTCCAGCAGAATCTTAAAAGGACCTTAAAGATCACCTAGTTGCAACCCCTCTGCCATGGGCAGGGACACCTTCCGCTAGACCAGGTTGCTCAAAGCCCTGTCAGACCTGACCTTGAACACTTTTGGAGCAAACATACAGTTGCCCATTAGTATAAGATTATACCAAGCCATCACAAAACACAGGCAACTACAAGAACAAAATGCTATAACTTTTTTGCAGCTTCTATCTGCACCAGGGGGAAAAAAACAAGGGGAAAATACCTGTACAACTGGATGGACTCTGTTGGACTATGTTCTCCAAAAACATTTCCAGAAGCACAGGCTTTATGGTTTTTGTGCTGTTTTCTCTGCTGCCTTTGAGAAGTACAGCAGCACTCTGCAGCATCCCATCCAAATTCCATTTAAATCAGTGTGCTTCGGACATCCGGAGGTCTTCCCATTTTCAGCCTGCTCCTCCTGCACTCAAGGAACAACAAAAAATCCAACCTCCAATTCAAGTAATTTCAACTTAATTTCGATTTCATTTCCACTAGGAATGATTCCACAGTAGGAGGGGGAAAGCAGCTGTCCCAGAGATGGCCATTTACAACAGCAGAACATTCTGATATTATTAGTTTAATTAACAATGTTCTGCACTTTGAAAGCACACAAAAATAAGCTGTTTCTATTTTTATTTTCTGCGTGACAGGAACAGAACTTAGAATTTCTTCCCAACTGAAAGGTCTCTTTTTTACCAATCAAGTTCATTAAGCAGGCACTAACATTGTTCCTGTTACAGAGTATGTGAGGTGTAAGAGCTCTGGTTCCATCTCTGCTTCTGACAAGAACATAATTAGAGGCGTTCTAGAAATTCTACACAATCTCTTAAAGCAGTGTTTTGTGGTTTAGTTCCTTTGTCAGTGAACTGTTTTCATTCCTGTATCTGTCCATACACAAAACTAACCAGTTTTGCTGCTGCTGTGTTACCTTATTTTGATGGTATCTTCCATTCCATGATATGAAGATGAGAAACTATCAGGATGAGGGTTCTCAATTCCATCCAGTACTCCAAAATAAAAAGCAAGTTAACATTAAAAAGTTCATTTACCATCTGGCCCCAGCATGTCTATACTATACCAGCATTTGGCTGTGAAGCTGAAGAGCTTTAATTAGAACCACTGAATGCTACTCAACATCACAAGCAGGAAGCAAATTTTAATTACACAATCTAAATTTAAAAAATTACTTTTTTTTCCCCTGAAGCACACTAATTTGTAACCATCCAAAAGATTTCTCATCATCCTGCAGAAGCAGTAGTCATTAATACATAGACCTTCACATCCAGTCAAAACACTACTACTTTAGTTGGAAAAAAGTTCACATTAAAAGAGCCTGAACTGAAGGACAGTATAAGCCAGCTTTCATTTTATTCTGGTAGGATTCGTGACTGGTGGGATAAGAGAAGACAAAAGATACTTTGGCTGCCATGTCAGTGCCTCATAGCCATGGTCAGGTTAGATCTCTTGGTACATATCCGTGAATTTGGAAGCTCAGCCAACTTCTGTTGACTTTGATAAAGCTTCTAATTATCTAGACTCCTTAAACTGGCTATAATCCAGCACTTCTCAACTCAGAGCTAGGCTGACAGCACTGGCTTTATATTAATCTTTATTCAAAGAAAATACGTGCAGACCTATTCCTAAGTCTTATATGGAAGAGAATTTTTTATTACAAAAGCTTTTAAGTCAGGCCATAGAGAATAATTTCTGAGTATTTACTGTAGGATTGCTTACTACTGCTGACTGCAGTATTACATTCTGCTAATAACTTTGGTAACCCACAATAAGAAGAGATCAGACTGCAAATGCACAGTATTTAATGACATTGTGAAAAACAACAGTTACCCGATTTAGAAGGATGTTTTAACATAGAAAGCACATGAACTTTACCTTTCCATAATACAGAAATTTCAGCTATAAGGAGAAATAAATTAAGAAAAATCTCAAAATTGAGTTATTAATTTAATAAAAATAACACTGTACAAAATTTGAAGATAGCAAAATTAGCTACATTGAGTCCATGTTAAGTAAAAAACCCAAACTTAGACAAAGTAAACATTGCTATATTAACTCTGTTACTGTCATGTCACTCTGTGTTGCCGTTGCTTGGTCTTCTCAGAGTTGCACTTTCAGTCAGGATCCGTATAACGTTTGGAATATCAACTCCTTAGTTAAAACCAAACAAACAAAACTGATAAATAAGTGGGGTTATGATAAAATGTGTTTAAAAATAAAAGTTATACTGAAACACTTAGATGCTGACACGAGTTTGGGTATTGTAACTGTTAAGAATCAGAATGTGCCTGGAAACTGTACACTGCTACAAATGGCTGTACTGGTTCAGTGAAAGGGTCTGTCTCAGAGTCAGCTAGCTCCCTTAAAGCCTCTGGTTAGAGTACCTATCAAAACCTTTGTGGAATTCCGAACAGAATTCCAGTATATGGACTGGATCATCTTCATCTGACTCATTTCAAACAATTCCAGAAAGTCTGCAAGGAAGGTTTTCTTACGACAAAATCCACATTCATTCCCCACCAACCACTCTAAGCAGATCACGTTTTTCCAGGTGTCCACTAACTCCTACCTCATTTTTCTAATCAGTTTCTATTCACCTATCCAATAGCAGCTGGCAGTTACAAAGACCACTTGGAATCCTGTACTGGTTCTGGCTGGGATGGAGATAACTTTCTTCATAGCAGGTGTGTGGTGCTGTTTTGGATTTCTTGCAAAAATAGTGCTGATAACACACCAGCAAAGATGGAATACAGGGAACAAAGATAAACTTCATAATAAGTCCTGAATTAAGAAATGTTCTTGAAGACAAAAGAATAATAAAACAGCGGTTTGGGTTGTTTTTTTTTCTTGAAGTGTCACCTCTCTGTTTCTCTCCAATTTGTTGGCTGGTCCTTACCTTCATTTGGCATTTTCCTCCTCAGCTTTTTAACTACTTTTTTACTTAAAGAGTAAGCTTGAGCAGTAGAAGTTGATGTTGTGGTCAATGAGAAGCCTCTTCAACACTGACAATTCTGCAAGAAATGCTGGGAGGGTTAAGGAACAATGTTTCCTATGACAGAAATGTCGAATAGATCACCAACATCCAACAGTTCCTCCCATCCCTGTTGCAATGGGGGAATGAGCAAACAGTAATTTCAGGCATGGAAACTGCGGAGATTATGGTATAACAAAATGTGAACTGGAGGAATAGGGAACCCAAGTGGCAACCCCTACAGTGGGGAAAAACTTGTTTTCTAATAGTGGAGGAAGAAAGAAACCTTAAAGGGAACAGTTCAAAGAGTAGGACCAAAAATTGTATTAAAAAGATGCTTGATTACGTGGTGAATGAACTGAAGGCTGGGAATGGAAATGAAATACAGAACAAGAGTGTCAGGGAGGTCAGCAGAGATGAGAAGAGCTGGAGTTAGAACTGAAAAGGGACAAAAGTAGCAGAAGAACTTAGGTGTAAGGAAAAGTATGGGGAAAAGAGGCATGAATATGATTTTTAGCTTCTGTTAAAAAAGAAAACCTAAAAACAAAAGCAAGCACATTTGAACAGAAAGTATTAAGACTCCTCAACAGAAAAGCTTACGTTTATCCCATCATCAATCCAAACATTCAGGTATTTAATAGGAAAAACTTACATACAATACAGTCGTAACAGCAATTTTATTAAATTATCTGTAATAGTAAAAATGCGTAATCACAGAAATCTAAGAAATCTACGGATTAGTAGAACAAAACCAAACTAAAATCCACTTTACTTTGTTCCATGTAGCCTGCTGATGATATTCCACCAGTGCATCTGTAAGAGTCTGTGTAACTTTAAGGATAAATGAAGCATCATCTTCATTCAGGATCTCAAAACTTTGCTAGGAAAACAAAACAGCACAGAATGTATTTTTCAAGTATCACCATGTACAAACAAAACCTGCAGAAACCTCATTTTTTATATCTATCTACAAAGCAGATACAGCTTTTCCTTTTAATCCCATAAACTAGGGTTGGGGAGGTGGAATGGAAGAGAATACTCACAAAGGAAACTGCAGCTACCCAATATATTCCTTTGGAAAGGCACAACCCAAGAATATGCCTGAAAATATCTACACTAGAATGCTTTTCCTTATGTAAGGAAAGTACCTATTCCCAAGATACCCAATATCTGCATATAAATGAATGTGTACAACTTCCCTGAGGCAATTAAGTTATAACCCATTTCTCTGGAAAGGAGCAGAAAGCCAGAACACTGCTGACTCTGTGCCTTGCCTTATACTGAACCTTTTTCTTCTCAAAATAACTAAGTAAAAACCAGTCTTTGAAACTCTGAAGTTCTAGTAGGGAAAACGTTGTAAAACCAACAGCCCTTACAGAGAGTACTATGTGCATCATCCTCTTGCCTACACTAACAAAGTTCTGCTGAAAACACTTCCAGTGGGCACAACATAACAGAACTACAGGTCTGTCCTATCAATACAAAGTCTTCTGGATTAGAAACAAACACTTTTCAACACCATAGACAATACAAAAAAGTAGTTAAAAGCTATAATGATGGTGGAATTTGAGATCCTCGGGACAGTGAGAAGAGCGTGCAGCAAGCTCACTGCCCTGGACTTCAAAAGAGCAGACTTTGGCCTCTTCAGGAACCTGCTTAGTAAGGTTCCATGGGATATAGCCCTAGAGGGCAGGGGGGCTCAAGACTCTTGGTTGATATTCAAGGATCACCTGCTACAAGCTCAGGAGTGTTGCATCCCAACTAGAAGGAAGTGCAGCAGGAGGGCCAGGAGACCTCCTTGGATGGATAAGGAGCTGCTGAGGAAAATTCAAATGAAAAAAAGAGTCTTATAGAAAGTGGAAGCAAGGACAGGCGGCCTGGGAAGAGTACAGGGATGTTGTCCAGGAAGCTAGGGACCAGGTTAGGAAAGCTAAGGCCCAGTTAGAATTAAACTTGGCTAGGGATATTAAGGATAACAGGAAGGGATTCTACAGGTACATAGCAAATAAAAAACAGATTAGGGAGAATGTAGGCCCCCTCAGGAAGCTCTCGGGTGAACTAGCTACACAGGATTTGGAGAAGGCTGAGGTTCTGAATGACTTCTTTGCCTCGGTCTTCACTGGCAAAGGCTCTGACCGCACCACCCAAGTCTTGGAAGGCAGACACAAGGACTGTGAGAATGAAGACCTTGGGCCCACTGTAGGAGAGGAATTGGTTCGAGACCATCTTAAAAATCTGAACGTGCACAAGTCCATGGGTCCTGATGAAATCCATCCGCGGGTCCTGAAGGAGCTGGTGAATGAAGTTGCTAAGCCGCTGGCCATCATATTTGAAAAATCATGGCAGTCAGGTGAAGTTCCCGACGACTGGAAAAAGGGAAATATAACCCCCATTTTCAAGAAGGGGAAAATGGATGACCCGGGGAATTACAGACCAGTCAGTCTCACCTCTGTGCCTGGCAAAATCTTAGAGCAGATTCTCCTGGAAGGCATGCTAAGGCACATGAAAAACAACAAGGTGCTTGGTGACAGCCAGCATGGCTTCACTAAGGGGAAATCCTGCCTGACCAGGTTCGTGGCCTTCTATGATGGGGCTATGGAACTGATGGACAGGGTATAGCAGTTGATGTCGTCTGCCTGGACTTATGTAAATTGTTTGACACTGTCCCACATGACATCCTTGTCTCTAAACTGGAGAGACATCAACTTGATAGATGGATCACTCGGTGGATATAGAACTGGCTGGATGGCCACACACAAAGAGTTGTGGTCAATGGCTCAGTGTCCAGCTGGAGACCAGTAATGAGTGGTGTCCCTCAGGGATTGGTGTTGGGACTGGTCTTGTTGAACATCTTCATTGCTGACATGGACAGTGGGATTGAGTGGGCCCTCAGCAAGTTTGCCAATGACACCAAGCTGCGTGGTTCGGTTGATACGCTGGAGGGAAGGAATGCCATCCAGAGGGACCTTGACACGCTTGTGAGGTGGGCTGATGCCAACCTCAGGAAGTTTAACCATGCCAAGTGCAAGGTTCTACACCTGGGTCGGAACAATCCCAGGCACAGCTACAGGTTGGGCAGAGAAGAGATTCAGAGCAGCCCTGCAGAGAAGGACTTGGGGGCGTTGGTCGATGCGAAAATGAACATGAGCTGGCTTCGGTGTGCACTTGCAGCCCAGAAAACCAACTGTATCCTGGGCTGCATCAAAAGGAACATGACCAGCAGGTCAAAGGAGGTGATCCTGCCCCTTTACTCTGCTCTTGTGAGACCTCACTTGGAGTATTGTGTGCAGTTCTGGTGTCCTCAACATAAAAAGGACATGGAACTGTTGGAACAAGTCCAGAGAAGGGCCACGAGGATGATCAGGGGACTGGAGCACTTCCCATATGAAGATAGGCTGAGAAAGTTGGGGCTGTTCAGCCTGAAGAAGAGAAGGCTGCGTGGAGACCTCATAGCAGCCTTCCAGTATCTGAAGGGGGCCTATAGGGATGCTGGGAGGGACTCTTCATTAGGGACTGTAGTGATAGGACAAGGAGTAATGGCTTAAAACTTAAACAGGGGAAGTTTAGATTGAATATAAGGAGGAAATTCTTTCCTGTTAGGGTGGTGAGGCACTAGAATAGGTTGTCCAGGGAGGTTGTGAATGCTCCATCCCTGGCAGTGTTCAAGGCCGGGTTGGAAGAGGCCTTATTGATATGGTTTAGTGTGAGGTGTCCCTGCCGATGGCAGAGGGTTGGAACTTGATGATCTTAAGGTCCTTTCCAACCCTAACTATTCTATGATTCTATAATTAAGTTTATATGTAACAGCATAACAAGGATTATATTCTTAACACTATTAGTATTTACCTCTCCTGGTTTGCACAACTTATATTTAAGAAGATTTTGTCAAAAACTAGGTGGAAAAACAGACTGCCTGTATTTTGGCTTTTGTTAACTGCTACATTGTAAACTTAGTAATTCTGTGATTATCCCTCCTTTTCCCCCCCAAAAAAATACATTGCAAGATTTAACACCAAATAACTCAATAGGTCTTCTTGACTAATGAATTCTTCAGGATTTGCTGTAATTCTTGCTGCTTAATTAAAAAAAAAAAGGAGTTTAGAGATCTATTATATGCAGTAATTATAACTAAAACAGTAATTATTATTATGGTTATTCTAGATTCTTGCTCTAATTAAATTGTGTGTGCTTCTATGAAATTTGTACATGTTTTAATGACAAAGAAGGAACTTGTTCTTGATAGTTTTGCTTAGTAACTTGCAGCTAATTTATTGTCAATAATATTAGTTTGAATAAGCAAAAGCAAACGTGATGCCAATCATACAGAAAAGTAATTATTTCCCCAACTATTTGTAAACTGGAGCTACCCATTAATGGAAAAACATTACCTCAACTTCCTCATTGTCTTCCTGCCACAGTTTAGTGGTCTCACACCTTAAGATAGAATGAATAAATAGAAAAACCCAGCATACAGTTGGTTGAGCTATCAAAACTGTGTAGCCAGTCAATAACTGTTATCAGTTTAAATTCCAGCTGCACTACTACAGTAGTTCTGATACACCCTGAAAGGTTACATATTATTTCCTTGCAGAAATCCTAGTGGTCCCAGCTATCACTGTAAAAATTATTTATAAGGTTTGGGGATTTTTTAGCACGATTAGCTAGCATATAAATTCTAAAACCCAGAATTAAGAAAAAAGTTTGACATTGGTAGTAAAAGCTGTAAGCTTTTGGTATGCATCGCATACCAAGATTTCTACTTTTATTGGGTAACAGTAAATAAGCAAAAGGTGTTAGCCCTCCATGTCTGGGAGAGATAGTATTGATTAAAAATTAAGAAACATTTTAAGAGAATGTCGTTATAGCAAAACCAAAGAACTAATTGTTGGAACAAAAATCTTATGTTTAGGTTGATGTGTGTACTTTCCTTACTCAATGCTTCCCTGTGGTTCCTGGTGTTGCACAAAGATGACTGGTGTTGGGAGATATCCCCCTCGCACAAAGGCTGATAGTTTTAACTAAATTCACAATACTGTTATTTCTAAAGATGTTTACCAACAGCAAGCACAGTTTCACCAGTTTAGAACTGCACACAATAATTCTTATTGTTCCTCCGCAAAATCTGTTATAAAGACGAATTCCAATTGTTACAGCTATTTACTGATTATCTTTTCCCTCTAAAATCAGTTCACATACCACCCTAATTATCTAAAATGAACCCGTAACAGAGGGGTTTTTAAACCATGCTGGAACATTCTTTTTGAACTTGTAATACATGATGATTATACCTTAAGGATACACAGCTAAATATAAAAACTAGTTGCATCTAGAGCAAAATCTGAGGTCACTTTACATGCACCACGTTTTCTGCTGAGGAGTTTGCAGCTCAGCACAATTTCAGAGGACGAACATTTTACTATTATTATATACTTTCCTCACAGCATACCCTTGCAAATCCAATGTAGACAGTTACCATCTACAACATTTTCCTTCGATTAAAGGGTTTTTTGGGGGGTAGACTTTGTGTTTAGCTTACTTTTCTGAGTTGTACCCTTTGCTGCCCTCTTCATCTGTGTTGCCTTTGCTGCTTTCAATATCTTTATTAGGTTCAAACTTCTCGTCTGGTTTTGCCTGTTCTTTCTGACTTTTTTTCCTGCTGCTCTTGAACATTCCTTTAATCTAAAACAATAAATCCAGTATACTTAGTAATGGCTTTCCAACATTTTAGTTTTAAAGTATTCTTTTTTCTATGATTCTTTGTTTCTGTGAAACACTGGAATTATACTTTTCTCTGCCACAGGCCCCAAATCCATCTGCACATTGTGCAAATTCACATTCTATAGAAGAACATATTTATAGAAGCTATAAACAGGCACAGAGTAAACAACTGATGTATTAGTGAAAATAAAAAAAAAAAGAGAATAAAAAATACACTCTCCTACCTAGAATAGGGTCTGGCATTCTTCCATCCTTAATTTTACAGCCTTTTATTTCTTCATTACTACGTGATGTATCCACATGCTGAACTTTAGCCTTTGAAGGGCTGTCATCTGCATCAGGACCTAAAAACATGCTTGAAAGGTAGCACAATGGACATTACCTTTGTAGAGGAGTAGTCTAAACTGCACTTCAGTTTCAAGTCTGTGTGCACTGTTAGTTACAAGCATTTAGAGTAAATTTATAAGCATTATTATGGGGGAGCATATTAAATATGAGCTAACCATTAATAACAAAGTTTTAAATATTTGATACCCTGGTTATAATTGCATACATAAATTTCTTAAAATATGTCAATATTAAAAATACATTGACATAATTTGCACATAAATACGCACATACTGTAAATACAAAATATTGCACATATCTAAGTGCAAAATTAGGCACAGCAACCAAGAAGTCAAGAACATAATTTGAATAGGATTGCACATTTCAAAACAGTTTGCTAGGTTCAAAATTTATATCCTTCTTCTTCAGAGTACGACACTGCCAATTTAGATCATTATAGAAGTAATCTTCCTATAACTTCTGTAGAGCTATTTTAATAACCTATTTATATACTAATATACATTAAAATTAAGAACATTAGTTTTAATTCAAACCTTCATTTTCATGCAGGTCTGAGAATGAGGGTCTTGTAGCAATTTTTTAGCCATTTCCTAAAATAGTACACAATTGTACTGACTGTACCTCTGGATGACATTGTACTACGATGAGTTTTGAAAGGTTAAACTGAGTGGAGAATTCTCACAGATAATGCTTTAAGAATTCTGTCTGGCTTTCTTTACTGCAATTTAAATACACACACAGAGCTCCAACCTGCTTTTTTTGCCCAGTTCACCAAAATACTCCTGAGTATTTGGCACTGCAGGGACTACGGCAGTTACTAGATAAAAAAAAGCATTGGTAAAGGATCCCAAGAATGGGATGGAAAGAGGGAGACAGAACAAAGCCTTATAAAACAGATGTCTTCAGTTACATTGCCTGTGGAAGAACTTCTTCATCCATCAAATTTTCAATTTGAGCCGTACAAAATGCAGCTTAGAATATAAGCACATACAATTACTGACCAAATCTTTCAACTTACCATTAAATCAAGCTGATTTAGATCAAAGGGAATTTACCCAAATTAGAAACGTACAATTTACATCCCACTGAGCACACTTACGTTCTTGCCATCTCTTCATTACTGGAGCATCTGTAACAATCTAAAAATAAAACCCATTTATGTTTGTTATTTTATGGATCAAATTATTCCATATGTATTTCATCAGAGTTAAATGTTTGTATTTTTAAGGATATATGACCAGTAGGTTAAATATGTGTCAATCCCTGAATGGATATTTGACAAGTCAGTAAGTCAGTTGCTACTATTAAGTTGTTGTTAGAGCTAATTAAAAAAAGCCCACAAAACCTCAAATAGATGGTTTCAGAAAATATATCAGTGAAATTAAATCAGATAATGCATAATCTATTTAAAAGCTCCTTAAATCAAGGACGGATTTGCTATGGATGCAGTGAAACTTCCCAGAAAAACAAAACTGGCTACAAAACGGTATAGAAATAATGAATTCCATCCACATGAAGATAAATCTCAAGTAAAATAAAGTCTTGAGTCAAAAAGAACTTTGATTTAAGCAGGTCAAAAGAAAAAGTTGTTGCCAATACTCAGGTTTGGTTTTCTTTTTAAAGCAAGGGTTAAAAATGAAGAATATGGAGACTGAATTTGATGATCTGAAATCTCTCCCTTCAAGAGCATTTGTTCTAGAAGACAGACTTGATCTTCCAACATTCCCATACTTTTTTTTTTTTTTTTTTAATCAAAAGAGAGTAGGATCAGTACCGGCTCTTATCCTTCAGCCTCACTGTGACAGTATATGGGTCTTCTTTCAGATAAGCATGACATAGTGAGCTTCAACACAGTAACACTGTGAACTCTGCATTGAAACAAGTCATAGCCAATACACATTAATAGACCTTGCCAAGAAACACTGCTTAACAAGCAGGATGTTGTCAGACATTGAAATTGATGGAGAAAACAAATTTGATGTATACCATAAGGAACACTAAGCCCCTGAGTAAGCTTATGAATCAGAGTAAAGTACACCTCAATAACAAACTTTGCCATCCTGTCCAGATAAAAGGTGGTAAACATTTCTAAATATTTTTGTGGGGTAAACATCAACAGAAAAAATTATGAGATGTATTCATAAGAACATGCTTCTACGTGTGCAGCTCTTCCCAGGAATTTAAGCTCATGGTGCTCCTGTGATCCCATGCCATTGCTGATAACCTCACATCCTTCTGCAAATTCCCACACTTCCCTCTGGACTAACAGAATTTTTACCTGTTTTTTCTGAGAATTGCCATAGGCTGTTAACAAATCACAAACTAATTCTGAAAAGTCATAAAGGTGGTTTCCTAGCAACAATGAAACAAGTTATTTTATGCACGCACACAGAGCTGTGTGTAAAATATTAACATGGATATTTTGTGTTATTTTTGTACTCCAGAGTCATATTTCTGTAGACACAGGCAGCATGAGTATTATTTCAAACAAGAGAAATACTTATGATGGCAGTGACCAATGGGAAAATGTGCCCAAAATAATTCTGGAAGAATTAAGACAATTAAAAGCACTTGAAAAAAAGATTTAAAAAGCAAAATTTTCCTATCATCCAAAGCAGATATGCCCACCATAACAGAAATTACTTTGTGTTCTTAGTAAATATTATACTGGAATTCTTAATTCTGGGATTCTTAAAGGAAGGTACCTTTATTTGTTTTCGTCCTTCTTTCTTCTCAATTGTTAATGCAAGTTGCTTAACTTTTCTGTTCAGTTCAGAGCCTTTACCCTTAACTTCACCAGATTCTGCTATCTCAGGATAATGTTGTTTCTAGAAAATAAAGAAATGCAAATCCTGAAGTCACACTTTATCCTACACAATTCTTTCCAGATCTAGCACAGCTAATGATGATGAGGGATAAATCAACTTTTACATATACATAGCAGAACTTATTAAAGTGGTTATGTATAGAGTCACAGAACGATTAAGTGGACTGAAGCCAAATATTCTGCTCAAAGCAGGGTTGACACTGAATGCTGAACTGGTTGCACAGGGCTTTGTCCACCTGGGTCTTAAAAACCTCTGAATACAGCGATTCCCCATCTCTCTGGGCAACCAGCTCCAATGTTTGGCTGCCCTCACAGTGAAAAAGTACTTTACGTTAAGTAGGAAACTCGGACTTATGTTCCTGCCAAGAACCTAATTTTGCCTTCATAGTAACTTCCCCTGAGATGTTTTCTTCTCAAGGCTGAACAAGCCAAATTACCTTAGCCTCTCCAAACAATGCAAAAGCTTCAGCCCTCTGACTATCTTGGCAGCTCTCCACTGAACTCACCTATTTCATCAATAGCTTTCTAGTCTGCCATAGCGCAAAACTAGACACAATATTCTAGATATGGCCTAACTAAGAATAGGGAAATAATAAATTCCTTTCACCTACTGGCTATACCCTTGTTAGCATAGCTCAGATTGCTGTTAGCCTTCATTGATGTCAAGGTACTCTACTTGTGTTTAGCTTGTTATCAGCCAGGACCCCCAGCTACTTTCCAGAAGAACAAATTCCAGCCATTTTGTGTCCTGTCTTTCCCACTGCCTAAGGTTAATCCATCCCAAGTGCATGACTTAAAAGTTACCCTTGTTGAATTATTCTGTTTTATAATACTTAAGAATATAGCAGAGATGCAGTCAACAAGCATGACATTCAGAATTGCAGGAAGCAGTTCAAAAAAACCCAAAAGAAATACAAGAGCTGAGAACATCAAAATTCAGCATATACATCTGAAGTAATGACCAGAAGCACCATGTTTACAAAGGACATCATTGCAGACCCATTGCAGTAGATCTGATAACGTTAGCTCTAAAACCACCTAAAAAATGTTGTACGAACCCAACATTCTCAACATTCTATGACTAAGATCTGTGGGATATAATACCAACTTTGAGCAGATATTCTATGGAAGTATCAAAATACTTTTCAGAATACTGCTCTCTCTGTTCTGTTAAAGCCCATTCTAAACAATATATTCAAGTAAATATTTAAAGACTGGGCAACTTCGTTTCTCTAAACATACTCAAAAAAATATCGTATTTCTACATTTGTAGGCCAAAATGAACCTTACGAGCTTCGAAAATTTCCATAAAACAGATCTTACATGTCTTGTTCAGCCACAAAACTGGGAATAAAACTTTATTTTTTCCCCATTCCAAGTCATAGCCTCCATACAATACATATTGTGTTCATTTACAATTATGTTCCTTTTAATCTAAAGCATATGAAAGATGGAACAATTTCTTCATTGATCCAGTTGTTTAAGATAATGCAAAATTTAGTCAAAAGCCTAAATGATCTCGAGATTCCTTCCAACCCTAACGATCCTGTGATTCTGTGCAATATTAAGAGCAGATTTCATTATTAACATTACTGATCAACCAAAAGAGAATAAACTAAAAACTCAATGTCAGCAAGGAACAGGCATACACCTTATCAATGAGAAGAATTTTAAATCCATTTATCACAGTTGCACAGTGGCAATACAAACACACACATTTTCACAAAAGCTTACGTAACACCTTCATTATAATTATTTTTTTAATCATAAGATGACTAACAAATTCTGTAATTAAATCACTACATTAAAAATAATCAAAAACCAAACAAGGTCCACAGCACCATTACTCTAGAAACTTACCAGGTATGCCAGTCTGTGTTTGGACCACAAACATGCATGAACATGTTACTCAGTCCTGTTTGGCAGTGGCACAGTTGACATTCATAGAGAAAAGGGGAATTTTCTTTTGGTCAGTATTCAATGATATAATTAAGTCCTGTATTAATAGAAAAGAAAAAAAGTTAGGAAATGTTATGTTTGCTGAAACAGCTAATCAGTGCTGGTTAAAAAGGAGACATTAATGGAAATGTTTACTAGTGTGTACCAAACACAGCAATCAAGATTTTCTAGGATGATCAGTTATTTTATCTGCTGGGTGTCTACAATTCCTCAGCACCAAAGGTACCAAGCTGAATTGCTTTAGGATACGCTATGTTCACCACTTCAGGACCCGACAACTAAAAAAAACCCATCTAAATGAATACTAACAATAACTCTTCTCTAACTATTTAGAATTTATTGTAATATATGCCCCTGCAGTTATTTTTCCTGTCCACTCCACTCTCCCCTCCATAGGATGGGCAGTTAAATTGCAAAGAACAGTAACAACCATTTAGGTCTAAGTTCATTTCTGTCATATCACCTTAGTTTGTTTCTAGAGAATATTCTCAACATGTGGTATCCACCCTAATCAGAAATATTCCAGGCCAAATCCAATGATTCTGTCACTAAGATTAGTCATTTTCATACCATATTATTGGGTACTCAGTGTAAACATGGCAAGATTTTATTACACATTACCCAATTCTACATTTAAAAAATTAATGAACACTCTTTCAAGGTAAACATCACACAAGCAACCATTTATGTATTAAAAGCCCTCACTGAGTGCAAGTTCTGAATCTTTTCATGTATTAAGCTGTTCTTGCAAGGTCTGTCCATGATACCTCTCTGGCTGCATTTGCACTGTAAATTAAAATTAATTTTATGTAATCCCACATCATCATCTATAAATCAGTCTTTGTGGTCTAAAGTCACATCACAAAACCCCTCCAAAATGAAACACGCTCCTGAGTGGAAACTTTGGCCTAGAGAAAACATGCTGAGAAACTCACATTCAAGTGAACCTGTGGCTTGTAGATAGCCCCACATCACAAATTAAGTCAGTTACTGAGAAACATTATCCCCACCCCAATTGTATTTTCACTCTTCTTTACAGCATTTTGTTTGCAAATACCCTTTTTAAGTATTATCACCAAATACTGCTGCAGATAAAAAATACAGTGAACGTAAATGAATTCCCAATGACCTACTGTCCTGGGTCCTATCCTTAAACCATGACACCAACTAAGGTCTAGATACCACTTGTAACACTGTACCTCAAAACATTTTATTTCTTCCAATTTCTTTTTTCTTACCATAATCAGGAAGTTTCACAGGTATTTTCACTTGCTTCCCTGAGCCATTACTAAATAAAAAAACAGAAGTGGAAATTAAATGATAAGTGTAGAAACCAATTTGGTATGATGGATTTTTTTTAAAGCAAAGTTTGAGCTTTCGTTGACACAAGAAAAATAAGCTATGCTTAGTTTTGAATGTGCTATGAGATGTCCAAAAAACAGACAAAAGACATCCAAATCACACCAAACAGTAGCAAAGGTATTTAATGTCAGGCAATTTGACGAAGCAGGTAGAAAGGAAGACCAATCAAGACACTAGTTAGCATACAACAAAGATTCCAACACACATCACAAAATTATATTATTAAACAGTGGCTTAAACTGAAAGTAATTCTGGCTGCAATATAGTTTATATAGAAGACAACCTGCAACAAGGGGAAAACCTGACTCACTCACTACTGTGCAAATATTTTCTATTCTACAATGAACAAAGCTTAATTTCATAAATTTCAGGGCTACTTTAATCCAGTACATTGCAGCAATTTAATTTAAATCCAATGAACTCGAGGCACTTAAACTGCTGGCCCATACACTGCCTGCCAGGGTACTTGACTCAGCCCAGAACCCTGCTGCCTTCTGAAAAAGGTCAGCAGTTATCCCCTCTCCAGTCAAATACCTTTTTCTATACACACACGGCATGTGACACAGCTGGGGACGGAGAACCTTGAGATATTTTAAATCTTAAAGGTCTCTAGGGTCTTAAATTCTTTAAGGTTTCTCAAAAGTTTAATTAAGGTGATTTGTGGTATTGTAATTTTGCATACCTCTTACTCATATTATTGATAGATTTCTGTAGCATTAGGTAGTTATGTCATTAAAGAACACTAGACAGGTCTTAAAGCACAAGTCTCCAGAAAGCCTTTTTCTTGTTTGTTTCATGAACTTCTACATTGGGACAGAGGGAAAGGCACATGTATAGAACAGAACAGGAAGGAAAAAAATCTTGTACTTACCAATGCCATGAGCTTTCAGTGCTTCTTCAACCTAAATTATCAAGTTATCAGCCAACAAAGAAGACAGACACTTAAGAGTCAAAGAGTAACAATGCAAACATTTTATCGTTTATAAAATGAATGAGATTAGCACCAGCACCACAGATCAGTTCAGGTGATCAGGTAATTACATGAAAGAAACATGCAACATTTTTCCTAGATTGTCTACAGTTTCAGTAATCCCATTCTGCATTTATTAACTGCCACATATTCTCATGTATTGTGTTTACTAATCCAGAATAAGACACAAAGTTGTAACATTTTCTAATGTACAAAACTAAGTTCTAGTTTATTGCAGTAAACAATAAAGTAACAAAACTAGCTAAGTATCTGAAATTGCATGCTTTAACACTACATTAAAGGTTAGATTTCAAACACATATTCTATTGTTAAATAAATCTGTAAAATCTGAAAAAAGGTGTATTCAAAAACAGATCTTAACCGCCTTGTGTTTGAATCCATTGAAGTGAATCTGCAAGTTTAATGCAGAAGCACACCAGATTTTGCAAATCCAGGATAAAAAGAAGTATTTCTAGCACTGCACAAAAGCAACAGAAAAAAATACCTCTAATGTCAAACCAAAACAAATCTGCTATCGACATGTCAGTATACGTAAATTCTAAAAAGTACTGTTCCTCCAAAGACAAACTAAAGCAGCTTCTAGAACTTTTCTCTACGAGGCTCCAACACAGTGGAATAAAAAGGAATCTCCACATCACACAAAAATCTCAGAGTCTCCAGAACCCTGCGGCTCTCTTATAGCATATTTTTGTGTTGATAAGTAAAAATATATCCAAGATCTTCCTCACACACTATCAACCAAATCTGAACCAGGGGCACAGCATAATTGTAACACACCAGTACATCAGCCTGCGATGAGCCAGTTCTCCTTAGTGCTGCATCCAGACTAACACACTTACTCTGATTAGTTTGGGGCCTGCCTCACTCACACGCATGTGAAGTTTTCTATCGCAGCTGGTTTATGCCTGGGCTGGTTCAGAACAGGAGCAGATTAGGTTTAAATTTATGTGAATTAACAAAGGCAGTCCAAATATTTTCTCCTCCTCTAAAAACACCCCAAGATGCTCAAAACAACAGTGATAAACCCAGGATCATAAATTACGATATTAATTTTTCCCTGACCAGGAGCTGCAGTTTAATCTTCTACTTCAAAATAACACCTTTATTTAGAAACATAATAGTAACATTTCCATTTAGTTAGTTAGTTCCTGGCACACATCCAAGTAAAAAGCAAAGTGAGATCAACTCTAGTGCTATTTCTCAATTTTGTTCAAGGAATAATAATAATAAAGTTCACACTTGATTTAGTCTAACTTTGTTCTACCAAAATTACTTTGTATTAATTACAATTTTCAGTGAGGAATACTTACATTGCAGTAAAAGGGGTTTACTTGCTTCTTTATCTCAGCATTAGTGTCCATATTTGATCTTTAGATGATGAGGCAACCCTAGGAAAATAGAAAAAAGGATTGCAAGCTATTGTTTTAACTTCAGAAAACCATTCATATTCTTGCTTCACCTATTTAAGGGTCATGTCTATGCCAATTTTAATTTGTGCCTCACAGTTACATTTAATGTTTAAATCTCCAGGCTAACTATCATGTTTTTCACTTAGAGGGAAAATACAACACGGAAGAAACAATTCTTCTCCCAGAGTTTCACACAGTATCACAGTATCACAGTAGGTTAGAGATTGGAAGGGACCTCAAAAGATCATCTAGTCCAATCCCCCTGCCGGAGCAGGAACACCTAGATAAGGTTACACAGGAACGTGTCCAGGCGGGTCTTGAATGTCTCCAAAGAAGGAGATTCCACAACCTCCCTGGGCAGCCTGTTCCAGTGTTCCGTCACCCTCACTGAGAAGAAGTTTCTTCTCAGGTTTAAGTGGAACCTCTTGTGCTCCAATTTGTACCCATAAGGTTTCCCCTCAAGGAAGACAAAGCCACCAGAAGATTGCACATGCCCCGAGATAAAACTATTCGGAACTATTTCAAGCTTCCCCCTTCTTTCCTGGGATTGAAAGGCGCGGAGCATGGGCTGGAACGGATGACATACAGCCAGGCATGCAGAGCCCAAAGTGCGCCTTTGGAAACCGAACACGATGAGGGCTGTGAAGAAAAGAACGCTCCCACCCTGGAGTGGGGCAGGGTCGGGGGGGGAAGAAGGGCACAACTACACTCGAACTCCACCCCGAGAATACAAGCTCTGAAGAAGCGCCTCGGCCCCTGTCCCACCCTTGGAGCTGGCCCAGCACGCCGCAGGCACCGGCCTTACCGACCCGGTCAGCTCTGCCGCGGAGGGGACGAGCACCTGCTTGGGCAAGGAACTGGGGAGAAGAGAGGGGCCGATGCGGCAGCACCCGGCTCACCCCAGCCCTGCAGCGGGCAGCAGCCAAACGGAGCCAGCACCCAGCGGCCACCGCTGCTCCCCCTCACGCCGCCACCGCACTGGCCCCTTACCGCCAGCCCGCGGCTCCCCGTTTCTCCTCAGGCACCCCCGGAGGTGAGGGGCTCAGGGACAGCCCGCACGCCCACCCGCCGCCGGCAGCGGCGCCCGGGGCGCACCGGGCGGGCAGGAACTGCGTCACGCACGGCGCGGAAGGGACTCGAGAGCCCAGGCCCGGGGAACGGGACGGCAGCAAGAACCGGGAGCTCGGAAGGAAGGAGGGGGCGGAGGAGCGACCCCTCAGCGCGGCACCCGCGACTCGCCTCCACGAGCCCCATGTGCCACTGGGGGCGCTGGCGCTCACGCTCCGGCGGGCACTGTCGGAGGTAAAGCCCGATCTGGCGTCTTCTGCCTCCGCACCGGGACGGGCGCGGTCAGAGATCCCCACTCGCTCCGCACTAGGGGGTGTGGGGTGCCGTGCTAGCGACGTGCGGCCCAAGAGCTCCGCCCGCGGGCCCCGTCAGGTGCAGACGGGGCTGCCCAGCCCCTTCCTGGCGGCTGCCGGGTGATCGCACATCGCTCCCCAGAGCACGCACCCCACACCAGCCACACACCCCGCTGGCCAGCGCCGCTGTACCTGGGGGCACAGGGTCTCCCGGGGCCGTTCCTCCCCGCGGCACGGCGGGACAGGCCAGTGCCGCACCGCCTGTGCTCTGGAGAGGCGGAAATCCATCGCGGGGTTTGCGGGGAGCTGACGGAGTGCCAGCGACCTGCCAGCGAGGAGGTGAGGCAGGCAGGCCCGGCCGCCAGCGGGGGGAGGAAAGGAGAGGGGGGAGGCTGAACGGAGCCGATCCGAGCCGGCGGTAGCAGCTCTCGGCGGCGCTTTGTTCGGAGCACGGAGGAGGCGGGTGCTGCAGGGTGGGGTTGTCCCCGCTCCGCGGTCGCCGGGACTTAGCGGGGCCGCCGGCCGTTCCCCTGCCGCGGCAGATGTCCCTGAGCCCGCGCCGCAGCCTGCATGCCCGCCCTGGGAGGAGCGGCCGCCTTTGTGGAGCCGGGACCTGCTCTGCTTTCTCGTTCAGGAGGAGCTAGCGAGGAAATAGAACCCAGCTCGAGTTAATGTGGGAGAAGTTCGGGTGCAGGAGAGTCTGGTAGGATTCCAGTTTATACCTATTTTTGATCAATTTCAGACAATCGTTGCAAATAACAACCTGCCTCCATTACCTTTCTCTGCACAAACTGCTTTGGATGTCCTCCATCGGCAGCGAGACGACCCGCTTAAAATATAGCTACATGCGTGTATATATAATGTAATATTATACGTACCTTTAAAAAATACATTTGCCTGTGTGTGTCCGTGAAATTTGCCAGGAGAAATTAAAGCGAAGTACTGTGATTTTTTTTGCTATTAGATTATTTTGTTCATTTGCTGGATGATGCATGGTAACTATTAATTTATATTAAAACAGAGGGAGTGGAAAACATCCAAAGAGGTTTGTGAGGGGTTTTATCTGATTATATGTAACACAATTGCCATATAGATCCCATTCATACTTGTAATATGGACCTAATTACCTAGTGATTTCGAGTCTCGAGGTAGACAGGGTCAGGCCTGGAATGCTCTGATGGAAGCTCTGTGAGGAAAACCTAACATTTGAGGAGGGAGAGCACTGTTTACTGCTGGTTCTAGCATTCAAACGAAATATAAACCTGTTGTTGTGACTGGTTTGGGTCACTGCATTTCCATGTCTTTTTTCCACCCTCAAACACAGGATGTAAAGGGCAGAATGATGATTTTTAGTGCTGCTACTACTGACTATGCTTAAAGCTTAATCTGCAGTTTAAGTTAGATAAAGAAATCTTTTCTTTTTTCCCCCCCCAATCCTTAACTAATTCTTGTACTAATCCTTTTGCCATTGGTAAATTAATTCTGCTTTCACACCATAAGTCACCCCAGTTTGCTAGCAAACTATTTTCTCTGGGTTCAGTTAGTGTGACCTTCACATTTAGGTTAAGTCTTCCATCATAACTTCCTCTTTGCATTTCTTATGCCTAAAAAATACTTCAGGGACTGAAAATGCTCACACATGCCCATCTGAAGTGATTTGGTTTTTTCCCTACATGGACTTCTTTGCAACTGGTTCGAGTTTAGGTGCATGTTTAGGTGTGTGCAAGCAAAAAACACATACGTATACACAGCTATGAGCATGTGCTCTGCTTCACTTGTGTCATTTTTTTCAAAGATATTTTTCCAGCAGACCACAGCACATCCCTTGCACTCTTTAAAAGAAGAACACCACACAACATTTCAAAGTAAAAATGAGAAATTGAGAGATATTGTTATTATTTTAAAGCAGTAAGGGTTTGTGCAAGAGAGCAAGTACTTTGGACAGTGATTTGTTATAAGGCAAGTTGTGAATTGAGCTATGCCAGGAGAAGATATTTGGGATACTTTCTTACTGTGCATATCTTAGAGCTTGGGCACCTGTAAGAGTGGGAGAAGCCTTCCATTCTTTATTTCTTAAAATTTACTATGCAACTGTTCTCATGTGCCTACACATTCCCAAATCAATCCTGTTTCCTGTATAATTGATACACACTGAACTTTGATTTCATCACAGCTTCCTACATACTGAATTGTATCCTGAGCATATGTCATGGAAGGTTCTTTTAGCCTTAAACTGGAAATTGTTTGGGCTTAGAATCATAAAATGGTTTGAGTTAGAAAGGACTTTAAGATAGAATCATCGAACAGTTAGGGTTGGAAAGGACCTTGAGATCATCAAGTTCCAGCCCCCCTGCCATGGACAGGGACACCTCGCACTAAACCATATCACCCAAGGCTCTGTCCAGCCTGGTCTTGAACACCACCAGGGATGGAGCATTCACAGCTTCCCTGGGCAACCCATTCCAGTGCCTCACCACCGTCACAGTAAAGAACGTCTTCCTTATATCCAACCTGAACATCACCTCTTTTAGTTAAAACCCATTTCCCCCTTTTCCTGTTGCTACAGTCCCTGATGAAGAGTCCCTCCCCAGCATTCCTATAGGCCCCATTCAGACACTGGAAGGCTGCTATGAGGTCTCCTCGCAGCCTTCTCTTCTCCAGGCTGAACAGTCCCAACTTTCTCAGCCT